CGCGAAATCCGTAACAAACAAACGATCAAAACCCATCACTTAGACTTTAGACTTATCAGTAAGACTTATCTACAATGATCATTAACTAAGTTTAGCTGAGACTACTACAATAAAATACTTAACAAATTAATCAATTTCTATAGAGAAGCGTTTTCAATTCACTAGCATGAACTTTAACCCTATTTCGTCTCTTTATTTTTAATATATAATGATTCGGCATGGATGTCTGTGTTTTATTTTTACATTGTTGTTCTGGTTTGTGTTTTTTTTTAATTCAGGATGGAGTTACACCTCTCTGGATGGCTTGTCAAATGGGACACTATGGCGTTGTGCAAGAGCTAATAGCCCATGGTGCACATCCAGACATCCCGCGACAGGTAGATGTGATCATATATTTTTGAATATCGCTCATATAATACGATGTTGTATTTCTAACGAGCCATCCTTGTTTGACTAGAAGATCATATTTAGGATATTAATTCACTTCGCAACTTGTTCTGTGAGTGTTACTCAAGTTTGATGTAGAATAAATTACGCAGTAGCTGGGATGTTTTTAGCATGGTGATGATGTAAAACAGTGAAGGCAGAAAGTTGTTATATCAGTTAATGATAGTGACAATCAACCTATTTCAGACTGGGTACCACTTTTTTGCTCACTATTTCCAGTACCACCTAGATTTGAACAAACCCAAGATTTTCTTCCGTATCTAAAAAAATAACCCACCATCAGTAAAAAGGTTTTACCTCCTTTTTCCAAGACAACAGGGATAAGAGAGACTTAAGTCGCAGGTTGGGTTCCTCCGAGGCAGCTGAGATAAGGGACACTTAAGTATAAGGTCGGGTTCCGCACTTATCCATGTTCCTCATTTCTTCTTAAAAGCAAGAATTTCCGAAAAATGGCTTTGAATGGCACCAAACATTTTAAGGGGCAGTCAGACAACTGTTTATACTCACCTCATAATCTGAAACAGAAGTATATCAAAGGGACTTTCCTCAGATCACTTCTCCTTTCACCGTCAAAATAGAATTCAGTTAAAGGTCACTTGAAAAAGGGTCTTCTATTCGACATTTGATCAAAGACACTTTCAGAAAAAATACTCTTAGAACTGGTTAACTTAATGTCCTCTACAGTTTTAGGGTGCGGTTTTATTTCATTTTAATTGCGGACACTGTCCAAAGATGGCAGTAATTCACATTTATCTCTATTCACACTAGTTTGTTGGTTTTGAATGTCACAGTCACATTATAACGCCCCCACGGCTGAAAAGGCGAGCATGTTTGGTGTGACGAGGATTCGAACCCGCAGATTGCGAGTCGAGCGCCCTAACCACCTGGCCATGCCGAGCCTTGTTCACACTAGCTGCATGCCATCCAAAATAGGCTTACTTCCCAATAGTTGAGAGCCGTTGGCTTAGATCGTTGAAATGGCCTTATAGAAAATTGGCACTATTCGATGCTTATACCATACTGATAAAAATTCTAGATTTAAAAGATACTGAAAAACTCTAAATACATAAAAGTTTCAGAGAAATTATTACTAATGATGGATATCAATTGGAACTCGAGTTTCTTGCGATGAATAAATACCAGTTGTTGTACGTGAAAGTTCATTACATAAGTCTGAAGTCATAAGTAATATATAGTATTTTTACTTCTATGAAATGGAATTAATACACCTTCTTTGAAGATGATCTATAAAAATTAAAGAAAATACTTGTTTTAAAAATACCTTAAATTTTTGGAATTATTTAGTGATATGTAAAAGTCTCAGGATCCAATGATAGTTGAAATATAAGTTGTTGTTTTTTTTTAAGGATGGTACTACACCTTTATTCAAAGCTGTCCAAAAAGGCTTCGCAGACATAGTGGAGCTGCTTCTTTTACACGGAGCGTCAACAGAACTTTTACAGGTAAAATTTGTAGACACAGTGGAGTTGTTTCTTTTACACGGACCAACAACAGCACTTATACAGGTAAACTTTGTAGACACAGTGGAGTTGTTTCTTTTACACGGACCAACAACAAAACTTATACAGGTAGACTTTGTAGACACAGTGGAGTTGTTTCTTTTACACGGACTAACAACAGCACTTATACAGGTAGACTTTGTAGACATAGTGGAGTTGTTTCTTTAACACGGACCAACAACAAAACTTATACAGGTAGACTTTGTAGACACAGTGGAGTTGTTCTTTTACACGGACCAACAACAAAACTTATACAGGTAGACTTTGTAGACATAGTGGAGTTGCTTGTTTTACACGGACCAACAACAGCACTTATACAGGTAGACTTTGTAGACATAGTGGAGTTGCTTGTTTTACACGGACCAACAACAGCACTTATACAGGTAGACTTTGTAGACATAGTGGAGTCGCTTGTTTTACACGGACCAACAACAGCAATTATACAGGTAGACTTTGTAGACATAGTGGAGTTGCTTGTTTTACACGGACCAACAACAGGACTTATACAGGTAGACTTTGTGGAAATGTTGGATTTATGTAGGCTATGCTATACATCTATTATAGTAAGTTAAACATCTGAAGAGTCAAGAAAGATCCATAGTGAATTCTGCATGCTATTTGTTAGAAAATCATGGAAAATTTATTCTAGCCTGTTGAAAGATTCTAACTAAATTTGTCACTGTAATTCCAAAAATAGATGTATTGGTGCCAAAATTGAACTGCTCACATAAACTCTAAGTTTATATATTAATTTAAAAAGAAATGATTTATTCGTGTAACCTTTATGGTATTCTGAGGTAATTTGGAGCCAATAGACAAGTATTATATCCAGAATATGAGCAGTTTGGAAAGCTTGCTTACGAGAAAATAAATTGAACAGCGAGAACAAAAGAAACATACAAGTTCAAAATAAATAAAACTATTATTTCTCCTATATTTGAAGCAAAATTTTATTGTGATATTGGCAAACTTCTAAGTTGACAAAAGACCGCAGGACTGTGTTTGTACCACACTTTCAAGTCAGACCAAAGTCCAAGTGCAGTAGTCCTGTATTCAGAGATTACCTACATCTATAATAATTTGCATTACACATATTAATGCTAACCTGTACGAACGTCTGTATCACCCATACATTTATAAACTACCCGTTCTCCAAAGAGGTGACGACACGGAAATCTGTCCAAGCAAGTATAAGCTCTAAGGAACGGTCACTGTGGTATGAACATTAATGCGTGCACATTAAAAGAGCTCATAGTTTATTTTCAAAACTCAACACGTTTTGGTTCGATACTAGTAAAATTTAAGGTCAAAACAGTAAATAAAATAACTACCATATTAATCTCTTTTGTACACAGTGATAAAAGTACATTTTAGAAAATTAGGTTTCATGCTGTCACTAATATGACGAAGTACTCTCGTTAACAACGCAAAAAAAGGCTCTAAAACATTTTAGTGCTTAACTTTAGCAAAGGCATTTCATGTGTGTGTTATGTAATATTAAACACCTGAAAACTTGAGTTTGAATGGGATTCTAAGAAAAGATTATCAGTGTTTTCATTGGTTGATGTACTCGCGTTTAAGTTCTGTAACGGGTTTTTAACTTGCAGAACGGAGACTCGCTACTCCAAGTTGCTACACACAGTGGACATCAAGCTGTGGAGGAGGTATTGATCAGGTTTGAAGCCAACCGACAGCAGCGAAGTCACGTGTGAATTAAAAATATCAAATAACGTGTTTTCTAATGTAATTAACCCAACTAGACGTAATATTTTAAGCTTCTTTCGTCAACTGTAAAGCGAAATAAGAACAACACATAACGTGAATGAAACTAAGTACTGTGTAGTGGTGAACAGTTTCAAAGGAATCTTCTGTCTTAATGAAAGAGATTCTTGTATTGTCTTAGGAAAAACTTGGCGTTCAGCGTACGTGTGTAGTCGAATAAGGAATATCAGTATAACTAGTTTGTATGTATACAAATGTTTGTGATGTCAAAGTCCACATGATGAATAACATTTGGAGCTTAAAGTAAATCTGTTTTCTCTCCGTATACAGGAATATCGTTTGATTATATAGGAAATAGGTATATAATGGATGTCCGGAACATTTTTTTTTTAACACAAGTACACAGTTTTGTTAACACAATTCCAGGAAATCCTGTTTACCAGTATTAGTTTTACCGCTTCAAAGAAAAAAACGAAACAAAACAGGATTACTGGCAGAAATTGTTAAGTATTTTTGTATTATTTGTAAAAGCGGGTTTTTAAATTTGAAAATAAGTTAAACTGAATATCCAGTTTTGTATTAATCAACAAAAACATTTTGGTGTTATAACCACAATTTTTATCTGTCGTTTGTCATATTCCATGAGGAAGAAAAATCTCCAGATTCCAATGTAGTAGAACAGAAAATCTATGGTGTAAATTAAGGTTCTGTTTAGGTGGTTTCACTAAAATCCGGGCTTCAATTCCCCCCCCACACTGAACATAACAAGTCAAGTCGGTATTATGGAACGGAGTGTTAACGGTCTGCTTACTTTGTAGGGCCCCGGCATGGCCAGGTGGTTAGGGCGCTCGACTCGCAATCTGTTGGTCGCGGGTTCGAATACATATCACACCAAACATGCTCGCC